CAATCTAAACTGTTGCGTCACTATCAAGTGTGAAGTTATTCTTTTTGATCCATGCACATTTCATTATTCTTTTGATTCTAGATGAAACGATTACTAACTATTTTTTAAATTGTAGTTTCTGTTTTCATTACGCTTGTAGTGTGTAGTGACTCTTTTTTATCACGAGAACGCGATTGGTTTATTGAAAACAATTATTATTATAACCAATTGTACAAGTGACTGTTTAATGCTCTCTTTGTTTAACTGTGCTAAAAACATCCATTATACACACTTTGATTGTGAACTCACGCGAATTCGGTTGCACTATGTAACCAAGCTTGTATCCTGGCACGATCTCGGTATCCTTTCGATGCCACGTGATCACCAGCATATATATCTCGACTTGGTCCATTAACTGCCATCTGATATTTGGCTTCCGGGGGATTTTATGAATATCCTGACACGCCTTCATTTGTAGTGGTGCTTATAGTCAATCTCGACTCGACACCACGCTACTAGTGTGATGTCGAGTTGCGGTTGACTATGATCACCACTACACGAAGACTATATGCCAGTTAACTGATAACATCCCCCGTAGGCCAAATATCAGAAGGCAGTTAGTGGCTGTAGTCGAGATGTATTTGTTGGCGATCTCGTGGTACCGGAAGAATACCGAGATCGTGCCAAAGGAGTACAAGTGTGGTTACTGAGCGTAACGGAATTCGTGCAAGGTCACAATCAACGGAAGGAGGAATGTCTATAGTACAGTTAAACAAACAAGTATAGTAAAACAATCCCTGGTACAATTGGTTATAATAATTATTGTTTCCATTACACCAATCGCGTTCTGTTGATAAAAGTGAGTCACTACATGCTTACACAGAATTTCTCTGATTCTCATGAACTATATCTACGTTGTTTTACTTTATTCATTCTCTGTTCTATGATTGTATTGCTTGAGGTGGCTGGAATCGTGCAATATTTTGTGGTGAACTGAAACACACTTCTAGAACTGGAAAGACTTATTGTTGTGACATGTAATGGAGCATACAATGATTAATACTTTTCTTATTGATACTTTTATAGAGTTATGCATTACAGTTTGAACAAACTGTACGTGATCTATCCAAAAAGGATGGAATAATATTCCTGCATTAGTACAAACCTTTATTTTTTGGAACTGGTAATTATCTTATGTCCCTTATCTTTTTGATCTACTTAATGAATTTCTATTTGATTATTTGAGTGTATTGTATAATTATTGGTTGAATAACCGGGTGGTAATATTTATGTAGGTAATAATGTGCACTTGAATCTGTAGCTTTATATAAAACTGATAATTACCCAACCATGTTGTTCACTTGGTAAGGTTATTAGCTGACAGTTGTGACCTTGAGGCTACTCATTTACTAGAGTCAAACGAGAACCACAAATTCGGGAGTGGAATTAAGGTTTGGATTTTGAGTTTGAGTTCAGGATAAGAAATTAGATTTGGGGTTTTCATCAGGAAGTGGCATTAGCTGTGATACCGAAATGCTATTCAACAATATTGTATTTCGGGTCACAATACAAGGCCTGCTACCTTCGATTTCATTAGTCTGTCCATAAATTGTGGTTTCGCAACTTGGTCTGATTTGAAAAGGAGAGCAAATTTTACGAGGAAACTAGATAAAGTTCAGTTGTAATTTCAGATTGGAGTATTTATACTAACTGATGAATACATTGTACTTGATTGGGGGCTTATTATTCTGAATATAAAGCATCTGATTGTACTCATCTAATTTTACCTGGTTTGATTGCACTAGTTTGAGAGTTCTTAGTTGGGAAATAAATTTGAATAATCCTAGTTATCATACCGATGTCGTGATGGAGTCAAATCTTGGACAGTAGGACATTAATTAAAGTGGGGATGACTTTGAATTCTACGAGGGGCGGTTCGAAATCTGGTGCATGACTACGGAAGACATTAAAGATGATAAATTCATAGGTTGTTTTGTGATGTTTATTGGCAGAGAAGTTTATAACCTGCTAAAGAATCTGGTTTTTCCAGAGAAACCAACTTCATTATGGCACGTATGTCTCAAAGAATTACCACTTATTGATTGTTCAGCGTGCTGGCTTCGAATACATAGAGAGATCGAAGTTGTATAAAATGATGAAAAAAATGATCAGAAAGTTGGAGATCTGATATTTTAACTAATGAAACAAAACACAGTGTGGAACAGTGAGGAGTAACAGGAAACTCGACTAAGCGGTCAGTTGACTGCTGGGATAACTAATCAGAGTTTAGAAAGGGAGTTATCGCAAAAAACCTAAAAGTTCATCTTGAGAAATTAAAAGACTTGGAGGGTCAGTGAAATTTCACAGAGCCCCAGCCAAGCATCTGGCAATGGGGTCAATGAATATGGAACAAATCATCGATCCCCGCCAGGGTCAAGGACAACCAACGCGCATTAGTAAATCGTACGCCATGGACTGGCCCATGCGGCAGTGGTCTTACCTTCACTTTTATCTATTTTAGTCAATATACTTCTGTAATAACGTCCTTGGTGTTGTACAGTCTTCAAAGCATCAATCCTACCTTGATAGGTCAACAGGGTAGTCCACATAAGGTGCTGACCACGAGGTGTGACTTCGACGTTAGCCAGTTCGTCACACCATTCCCGTCTAACTCGAGAAGGCCTCCAGTCATTCGACAAAGATCATCTCCTTGAAGATCTACAGACTTTTGAGGTGATCCAGAAAACTTTTCGCGAAAGACAAGAAAGACTCGGTAAACATTGAGAAGCATCTGATTCAATCAGCGTTCGCTAGATGTTTAGCCCGAAACATCAAGAAAGTGGAAAGTCACATTTCCAGTTTCTGATTAGATGATTACTACACGGTTACTATGTTTAGTAGCATTCCAGAATTTTTAGGAAACCCAAAGACATCTACAATACCATAAAAACCTTATATTTTCTGTACATAAATGAACCTTCGGAGTAAAGTGTATCACACATATTTTGCTCCTTTTCTCTCGTGTTAAGGTCGCTGTGTAGTTCTAGCTTGGGAATCGAATATAACGTTCATTTAGCAAGACTTATCAGTGGCGACGGTAAAACTACAATGAATATTTCTTTGGAGCAACTAGAAGCTTATATGAAGCGTCGAGAGAAGAGGTTTGAACAGTCTGAAATCAGAATCAAGGGGGTTTCTATGAAGAAATTGTGCCTGTTCCAGCAAAAGCCTGCTTCTTACTTCCTTACGCCTGTTACTTCCAATGGAGCATAGGCCGCCCACCAGCATTCTCCCACCCACTTCGTCCTTGGTCTTATTTTCTAGTTCCATCCAGTTGTTGTTCACTTTTCTCATGTCTGTCCACATCTATCGTCGTAGTATGTTCTTTGGTCTTCCTCTTTTCCTTTGGCCTTGAGGATTCCATGTGAGGGCTTGTCTTGTGACGCAGCTGGGTGAATTCCTCAATATGTGTCTTATCCATATGCAGCACTTCTTCCTGATTTCTTCCCATATTGGAATCTGGTTTGATCTCTCCCACAGTAGGTTGTTACTGATAGTGTCTGGCCAACGTATCTGAAGTATTTTGTGCAGACAATTGTTAATAAACACTTGTATCTTCTGGATGATGGCTTTCGTAGTTCTCCGAGTATCCGCCCCATACAGTAGAACAGTCTTCACATTCGTATTGAAAATTCTGACTTTGGTGTTGGTTGCCAGACAGTTGTTTTGAGTTCAAGATGTCCTTCAGTTGTAAATACACTGCTCTTGCTTTACCGATCCGGTCTTTACTTCGAACGAGTCTGTCAGTTGTCCCCCATGCACGATTTTTCAGTTTGATCCATCATAGAAATTTCGTATGATATTGAGTATCTTCTTATGCACGCCGTAGTATCGATAGTGTTGTTCTGTCCACGCCATCAAATGCTTTTTCGAAGTCAATGAAGTTGATGTAGAGTGATGAATTCCACTCAACTGATTGTTCCACAATGATTTGTAAAGTTGCGATTCGGTCTATACACGATCTATCCTTACGGAATCCTGCCTGTTAGTCTCGAAGTTGGGCGTCCTCAGAGTCCTTCATTCTGTCTAACAATACTCTGTTGAAGACTTTGCCCGGTATTGAGAGAAGAGTGATGCCCCTGTAGTTATCACAATTGCTGAGATAACCTTTCTTTGGTATTTTGATGAGAAGTCCTTCTTTCCAGTTTGTTGGTACTTGTTGGTACCTTGCTTCTAGTGAATTACAATGATTCCATACTGATTTAGTCGTTAATGCCATCCATGAATTTAATTTTGATGGTGTACCAGGTGTAACTTTTCATTCCTGTTTTAAGAAATATGAAGATTCGTACTATATTGAACTTTGGCTTACAGTCTTCTTGACACTTCTGGACATCCCCTTAAACTCCTAGTTAAGCTTAGTCCCAATGCAAACCTAAGGAGTAACACCCAGAAATTGGAGATACAAAATACCAGAATGGACTGTAGACGCAACCCCTACTCCCAAAGAGTTGTTAAATGATGGAATTCGCCGCCGACTGGAATAGTCCAAGCGACTTTCTGGGAGTCCTTTAAGAGGAAACTTGACCTATTCTTATGGACTAAGGATAACATCTTATAATGATTTACCCATTCATTTTTTTCCTCTATTATAATTAACATGCCTAGGTTCCTGCCTGGAGGTATTGGTGACCAACTGCTACTAAACACTGAAGCCCGTAAAGCCAAAGTTTCTTCTATTCAGTCCACAACAATTTGAACCATTTGAAACTCACTCAAAGTACAGCATATTCATATACACAAATAACGACCAAATAACTAGAATTAGTGAAGTCAAGTGTCTAGACTAACACTGACCCTGAAACTGTGCTACAACAGCAAGAAGCGAGAGCGAATAAATTAATAGGTTTACGCCAGCTCACCTTAAAGATATTTGATATTGAATAAATAGAAACTCAGCGCAATGTTTGTGTTTCACCGTTACACCTAGACGTGTCTTCTCCTATACGAGACGAGTGAAAATGGTGAGTCGCTGTAATGATTTTATGCAGTGGAATAAAATATAATGGATAGGATAATCCTGCGACACGACAACCAATGAGTGAGTTGGAACTGCTGAGAATGCAGATGAATGCAAAGACCGATGAGGTATTGTTTTTACATAACTTATCAATAACATAATAGACTCTTGATTCAACAAGGAACATGGTTCGTTTATGTGATGAGGTGAGTTCTGTTAATCCTCGCTTTTTATTAGAATCAGGTAACAGCTCATTAATAAATTTGTGAAACATTTGCTATCGTAAGTATTCATCATCCGCCAAGAATTAAAAAATGCAATAGCAAGTTCGAACCCTGCACAGCAAGTGGTCTTTTGTAAATTTGGAACTCGCTAAAGTTCATTAAATTGCTAAATACCAGCCTTTACATATATGCGTGAATATGATATCGAACGAAATGTAACAATATCTTAGCTCAACCATTCTGCTATCTTATTAAACGTAGTTTGGGTGTTTTTAAGTTCATAAACTCAGGCCCAATCGCAACATCTGGTCAGAAGTTCTATCGACGTAAAGTACCGTAATTCATGTAAATATAGTAGGAAAAGTTAGGTTGTACCACTAAAATACACGATAACCAATGGTTTTAAACAAATTGAGAGTAAAAATCTCTTCCGGAATTAATCAATTGCTCAAAACCTGAGCTTCCTCTTGTGCTGTGTTTCTGCTCCCTTTGGGCTAGGTTATCATTGTGTATTTATTTTTAGACAATGTATTGCAGCTGCTGATACTACCTGGTTGCCGAATCCCTGGTAGGTGGGGTGGTTTTCGAGCATGTTGACTAGCATCGAAAAGTATAACAGCTTATTCACTGCAACCACTCCACTCCATAAGATAATTTCTTGTTACTCAGTTAACTTTCTGAATCACTCAACAAATATAACCTTATAAATTGTGTGCTTTTGTGGTTTGTCAGCTATTCACTCACGTTTGACAATGCCTAAGCTAATCCTAACACTATTAGGTCCTTTAATTGTTTCCTGGTATTTCGTCTTTAATGTAAGGCCCGTTGTAAAAACGAAGTAAAGTATTAGGAACCTAAACCAATATGTTAGGAAAAGCTACAGGAGGTCAACGGCTTTTTTTCAAATTAATACATAGTTTAAGTCTCACTTCACAGGGCTACAAACAAGTTTACGTAGTGGTAGTAAACATCGGTGAGTGAAAAAAGCTAGTGAAATTCATAAGGTTGCAGGTAATGCTAGACAGCCGTTTGGACTAATTTACTAATCTTTCCAATAATTAAAAAAATCTTGATCGCTTTTGAGTCTAAACATTATGGACTAATTTTTGTTAATGGCTTTCCTGTTTTCTGCTTTCATTGTTCACTAATTCTCACTATTATACCGTAGTTATTCATTGTAAATGATGGACTAATATTTTACTGAATAATTTATTTTATTTGAACATATAAATATTGGTACAAGAGGGCACCAAATATATACCACACAAAACAAAGAGAATTCGAAGAGAAAGAAAAAAAGAACAATAACGAATAGATTAGTGTAAGATGATGTAATAATAATAATAATAATGGTAATAATGGGGGAAACGGGGAGGTACAACTAGAAAGAATTCCTTCAGTTGAGGAAGATACAACCACTTTTTATGAAAAAAGTAAAAGAAGGTTACAGCAGGATCGCCTCTGGCTTTTATTCTGAGCCATATCTGATAGCGTCTCTAGCCACTGTGTAGCACCATCTCTCGGACCCCAGCTAGGGAGTCGTGAAGGGCCAACAAAAGCCAACCCTTTGCAGCTTTCTTTCATACCACACATCATGTCATACACTGACCACCTCTCCGCTTTTTCCAACCAGTCCCAGAGTCGGCAAATAATGCACGACGTGGAATTCTCTGGGACGACATTCGTAGAACATGTCCAAGCCACCGAAGTCGGTGTTTCAAGATGGTGACACCAATTGCATTATCGTCTCTGCGCCCGAACACACGATGCCGAACTTCTGCATTACTGACATGGTGTTGCCACTGGATGTCAGCAATCCTTCGGAGACAACGATGATCGAGCACTTAGAGTCGTCTAACGTCCTCAACTCGGAGAGATCAGGTTTCACAAGCATAGAGCAGAACTGCTCTCACCGACACGTTGTAGATCCGACCTTCTACAGCCAGACTAACATCACGAAGGCGCCAAAGATGGCCCAGATTGGCATAAGCCGCTCTGGCTCTCACCATACGTGCATTGATCTCATCACTCACACCCCTACCAGCACTTATGCAGGTACCTAGATACACGAACTTCTCTACTACTTCTATCTGCTCACCATCCAGGGTGAGTACAGGATTAGAATCCTGCCAGTCTTGTAGAAGTACTTTGCACTTCGAAGGTGCAAAGCACATACCGTACCCACGGACAGTGATTGCCAACTGATTAAGTGCGGATTGCATGCCTTGGGCATTATCGCACAGTAAGACAATATCATCGACATACTCAGGGTCGAGAAGTCTTTCTCCAGGCAGCAGCTCCACATCGCCATTACTTACATTCATCAGAGCTGTTTCCAGAGTGTCGTCGATGGCAAAGTTGAAGAGGAATGGTGAGATTGGGCAACCCTTTCTAACCCCACGGCTTAATTAGAGCAATGGAGAGAGGTGGTTGTATGCCCTCACTCTGCCTGAGGTGTTTTTATATAGGGCTTTTAGGATGTTAATAAACTTCTCAGGCACACCATTCTTCGATAGACAATCCCAGAGAACAGTCCTGTCCAACGAATCGAAGGCAGCTCTGATGTCAAGAAACACTACTATTGTTGGTCTGTGATAAGTATAACGGCGTTCTAACATTTGGCCGAGGGTGAAGATATGATCAATACATCCTCGACTAGAATAAAAACCAGCCTGCTCCTCGCGAGTCAATCTTTCTCGGGTTTTGAACAACCTACGAAGTATGACAAAAGCCAATAGCTTGGACGCAATCGGAAGTAGACTTATCCCCCGATAGTTGCTACAGGAGCAACGTGAATCCTAAGATAGGGAAAACTATCGACTCATTCCAAGACGTTGGCACACTCTCTACTTCCCAGACCTTTATGAACAACGTCGTCAGTTCCTTAGTCAGAAAGTCACCATCTTTAAAAAGAGCCGGAGGTAGCGCTTCAAGAGTTGGAGTTCCTTGCGGACCTCCACCTCACTTGGTGGATCAGTCGTCACCTGCCATGGAGGGCAGGACAATCTGACCGATGTTGCCGGGGCAGCAGGCCGGTTGAACTGGTCTTCAAAGAATTCTGCCTATCGTTCAAGACGTCGATGGGTGTTGGTGATTGGCATCCCATCATCCTCGCAGGTTGTTTCGCTCACACCAGACTTCTTGCTGCCAGTGGCTCGGATGAGTTGGAAGAGCTTCCGGTAGTTACCAGATGCGGCTGCTGCTTCCAGCTCATTAGCACGCTTCGACCAACAGGCTTCTCGGTCCTTACGCAAGCTTTGCTCAATTTCATTACGTAACATCCTTCGTTTGTGGTCAAACTCACGGTCACCCGGAGTAGACCGATGGGGTTCAATGAGTTGTAAGGAGCCTGAAGAAACCCAGTGCTTATAAGCAGGACGTTTTGCGAACCCAAAAGTGACTTTACTCGTCATTTTCATGGCGTCATGCAGTTGCAACCAATACTCATCTACACTTCTCGGTGGAATGGTATCTAGCTCGATTCGATACTTACTTGCAACCGCAGTTGCACCCAACTTGCTGACATCAATCCTTTGGTGGCGGTCACTTCGCTATCCACTGCAAAGTGAGGTGAGATTGACGCAGACCATGGCATGATCAGAGTCCAGATAGGTACTCCAAAAGGAGCGGCAGTCTTGTACACAACCACGCCAGTGGTAGCTGATCGCGATGTAATCAATCTGAGTCCAGACTTGAGATGCAGAGGGAGGACGCCAGGTGGCACGTCGGCGATGACTGTGCCGAAAGTTAGTGCTAGCCAGAAACAGGTTGTCGTCTGTGCACAGTTGCAGTAGACGGTCCTCGTTATCTGTCCTGCGACCAACAAGTCTCCATCGGCCACCTAAACGACTCTCTTCTGTGCCTAGACGCCCGACCTGAGCATTCAAGTCTCCGAGTAGTACTACAATATCTGTCGAACGCACTTTCTGGAGAAGAACGGTTAACTGGTGGTAGAATTCATCCTTAATTGCATCCGGGCTGCAATCTGTCGGAGCATAGGCGATGACGAAAAGGCATCGTTTCTCACGCCGATTTCTTCTCACTTTGATGGAACTCTCTAATCTAACAGCACATAACCGACTGTTAATGGGGATCCAATCGATTAGTGCTGCCTCAGCTCTAGCGCTTAGTGCGACACCAACGCCAGCAAGACCAGACGAAGATGCCACATAGTCCTCGGATAAACACACGTAAAACAAGCTTTTTGAAGTGACAGATGGAGAGCGAACTTGTGGTACTTCACCATAGTCCTGAAAACGGGTATCAGATAGACAACAAACATCGATATTAAGACTTTTCAAAGACATAGCCAGCCCTATCTGTTGTCCGACCTGCATAAGTGTGCGAACGTTGAAGGCAGCCAGTTTGAATGGTGCACGTGGTTTCAGAAAAACTGCTTCAGTACTCGTATTTGGTGGTAGCATACAATTTTCAACTAGGCAGCGACTCGAAAACGTTTAAATAGAACCGAATTTCCACCATAGGCGAGCTGCTGTATAAGTCGAGAAATAAGGATACACTTAGTGGAAATAAAAGAGAGTGAGTAAATGACGTAGTAATTAATAATAATAATAATAATAATAATAATAATAATAATAATAATAATAATAACGTGAATCGTCTGACTGTTAATCGGAGCAAGTATTGTATTTTCCGTAAGTATTTTCATTTCATTCTGTTTGTGTGTGGGCTGTGATACTGCCTGGGTGCCCAGACCGAAGCAGATGGTTTTCTTAGGGGTCACACTCATAGCCTTTGGCCTGAAGGTATAATCTACAAGGCAATGGAGCAATGTTAGGAGATGCAGTCCCATGGTAGCCGGTGACCAACGATTGGTTCATACGCCGTTTGTTCCCTCAGGATACTGGTACCCATGTGCACCATAGATTTGGAATCCGGTTAAAGTGCCGGACATTCGCTTTTCGTCCTCTCATTTTCGTAAACAACACCCCTCAACGAGAAGGCAATGAGTAGGACTTCCCTGGAAGGGGCTGTATACGCGTGGCTATGTGAGAGCATTTCAAAAGGGAGGGCGGGCCCATCCCACTCTCGGTCGTACCAGGGCATTTAGTCACTACTATAGACTGTCGAGGTAACATCTACGGTCAGCGGACGTCAGTATCAACCAGATGATTTCGGAATATTACTAATCCCTTGAAGTCACTGGTCTATTATCAATACTTTTCGAACATTGTAAACTCAAATAGACCAAGTTTTATAAGCACAAGATAAAACTGTTTGAACCAAAGCTGTAGGCCTCTAAACTTTTGTTATCAAACTAATATTATGCCAGTGCCAAAGATAATACAAATTGCTACAATGCTTCTGTGCTTTTGCTGTATGTAAATTGACCACATCAGTCGCGTCTACTCGACTTCACAAACTTGACATCTTGCAACAGCTCATTACAATGAATAAGTCCAGTCACGGGTTGTTCCCAATCTTGTAGAAATAATGAGGTCTTTGATGATTCATAGTACACTGGGCCTACGCGGGCAACAATGACCAAATGATTAAGTGCGATTTACGTAGTTTATATGTCATCGCATATTCAAATAATATTATCGTACGATTGAAGTCCGAAAAATCATTCTCTTGGTAGCGGATCTGTAGTAGCAGACTTCAAAAAAGCTGTTCCCAGAATATCGACGCTGGAAAAATTAAGGAGAGATGTCGAAATTACACAACCTTATCTAAATCAACAGCCAGTTCAGAATACTGAAGTTCGATGGTCCTATCCATTCACTCCGTTTTACATGTCCTGACATAAAGCTTTTGATATGTTGGCAGGCTTTCCAGATATAGGTTCCCTCTAAAAAAGACCCCTACGATACAGTTCCGTCAACCAAATAGAAAGTGGTATTGATGTCAAAAAAACATAACAGTACCTCAATACTTTTGAAAGGGTTGAAGAATTTGGCAGAGAATGAAGCTGTTATCGATACATCCCCTGCTTGGCCGAAGTGCTGACCTACCTCACACGACTATGTGTTTTACGAGTTTTACACCACAACCAATAATCTAATAAAATCTAAAGTATTTCTTTTCATTCTATTACTTTAGTTAGTGGTGTTAGGTTTCGAGTACTAGAAAAATCTGGAGAACTGGTTAGCAAAACTAAAAACATCCATCGATTAAGGTGATTGAGATATATCTTCCATATCCTCGATCACCACCTACTTTGACACGGTGTTGTCTGGAGTAATAGTAAGTTGGAAGAAAGCTTAGGGAAGCTAAACCAAGACATATTGTCAGCTCATAAAGTCAATGTTTGTTGGATTAACCCATGATGGTGGCTACAAATTGCTTATTTGTTGTCCACGTGGTTAACTTCATATTTACAGGAATACCGATTGATGTTTCTGGTTATGCTATTTGATTTAATGAGTTTAGAAATTAAGATACAATGACAGCTTAAATAATATAATACTTGTTAACAAGTCTTGAAATGGATGATGATTTCACTTGTCACTTTCAACTAATCTCTCCTAAGTTAATTACTGTTCCTAGCTCAGTTTCATAGCTTTTCCATACTAGACGTTTTTGTAGTTCAGGACTCAAAGGACAAATACGTTTGGTGTTTTTTAAGCATTGACATGTGTTTGTGAATTGGAATATTTTTCAACGTAACTCATTTGCCATACACAGCTTTCTGTAGTGGGCTTTAAGCCAAAATTCTATTGTCACACTTAATGATAATACCCTTGTTCACAAATAGAAGTAGATAGATACAAGCTTTGAACCGTGAACCTATTGGTGAAAAGCAAGGCACTTTGACTCCTAATTTATTTCTCACTTCGATCGTAAACGTTATGATAATAAGATTTTTACGACCAAAATTCAAATATTGTGTTCTTCATTTCTATTTTGTATTACATATTGTTTTTCATTTGTTAACAATATTCTGTTAATAAATTTTCCATTTTTGACAAAACTTTGGAAAGCATTTATATTTATAGAACTTCCGTTTTTTTTTTTAATTTTTTAATTTCAGAGTACAAAAGTGGGTGCTCAGACACTAGGAAAGTTGGAGTCCCAAGGCCGTAGGTTTTCAATTTATTTATATAATTCTGAAAATTTTGTCATATGTTTTTATTTGTCATTTTCGTACCATATATCCTTGTTTTACTCTCTAAAATCAGCAGTTTAATGTTCATAATTAGGTTGTGTCTAGAGAAAAACCATGAAATGTGTTATTTAACTGCAAAAATTACCAAGTATTGTTGTTGCCTAGTCGTATAGAGATTCTTAGAACACTAAAGAAATAATCAGTATCTTTTTGTTGTGAATGCCACGACGGTATCTAATAATAATAATCCCTTGACACAACCGAGAATCTAAAGAGTTCGTTCTTTACATCGAAATACTCATACAACTGACTGACTCATAGTCTAATCAAGATAAAAGAAATTAGATTGATACTCACTACTAGTTTATGTAACCATTGTATTAATATTTTTAAGTTTTCTTGATTTAAGCTCAGAAATAAGTTAATTATTTATCTATGCTCAGATATTCAATGAAGAAAACACATATCAATTGTTAAAAATGATGTTGTCACAAGATTGTTAGTGGCAGTAGATAATGTTAACTATAAAGACTACTCACAAAGGGTACTAAAAAGTCTTAGTTTTATGAATTTTCGATAATATACAGTATTATACTCATTCAATACTATGTACTATTTTATTGACAGCACTATAGTTTTAAAGTCACTATTAGGCGACAGATTTTGATATGCACATTTTTACTGTCACATTCTATATATTTCAGCAGTCTAGATTATGGATCGGTTGCTTGATAGCCAGAGTATTCGATTCATATTCACTCGTTCATAAGATCCGATTTCCATCCTACGTCTGACTAACGAGTTAACCCCATGACGGGAAGTGGAATACCACAGAACTTGGTTTGATTGTCGAGTTGTAGCTAGTTTTTGAATGCTGGTCCGTTTGAGCGTTTCGTTAACTAAACAGACATAAAAAACTGTAAATCTGATTATATAATCATGACGTGGGAGAATAAGCCTTGTTACTAATTGATGTATTTGTGTGTGATATCCTAGTATACGCTTATTCAATGAATTTTGACGTGTCTGTGGAATACGGATCATAACCTGTTATTCTAACTTGTTGGTTCCCATTGGAATTCCATGTAAAGAAATAATTGAGTGGTTGGAGGTGATATTCTGTGACATGTTAATTTACGGAAGTGGCAACTTAACTGCATATCAGTCAAATAATTATCTTGTAACCTACTATTGGATATAAGAAATGCTCAGACGTCTCAATTCACTCAACAAAGTTACATCATTCATAAAGATTTGCAACATAAAAAACCACGAATGACGAAATCTTTAGCGCTCTAGTCATCGAGTTATTCTCTATTAGGTTAGTAGGTATGCTTTTCATTTTCGAATTTCCCCATTTCCTTCCTCATTGGTTAGTACATATCTATTAATCTGACAATCATACTCAGAGTAGAACCTGGCACATATATACATCGGCTCAAGTTCCCATGCCCATCAACACACTGAGATGGAATTGTCAAAACAGTTTCTAGACTACTAAGGGTAGTAACAGTATTTGTGATAATAGAAATGATGGAATATTGAAGATATGATTCGAGAAGAAAACACAAGTTAGCTGACTGAAAAGAAATTAGAAATTAAGATCCTAGTGAAGGCAAAGAGTGGATGGACCTACGACATTGTGAATAATTGCGACATATGTCACTCAGAATCTCTAATTATTGGTTACGATGATTACACAGTCGCGAATCAGGTAGTCTGTACCTGCATATATGACTCAGTCGAACAGTCAGTGACTTGATGGAGTCTTGGTTTGGCCTCCTCTACTTTCCTCTCAACCAACTTGTAGACCAGCGAAGATGTGTGGTCTAGGCAGTCGGTGGATGGAGATATGTAATACATGTCGTGACCATGTTGTTCGATAAAGATTCACTACGTGATTAATTGATTTTGCATTCTTACCTAGTACCGTGGTTCTAAATTCAGTATTGCTTACTAGGTGATCTGAGAGTACACGAGCGGTACTTCGAATACGCTTATGATCAAATACCAGCAGTTTAAGAACATCATCAATTGTTCATTGGGATGTTTTCCATGAATAAAATAGAAGGGAGCGAACTGCTCTTCCGTATACTTTTCATTTCGTTGGGAGATGGATATGTCGCTTACGTTGAGGGTGACTAAAGTTGGCGAAAGTCGACCGGACTTTCTGAATTGGTGTCGAGATTTTGTCAGACACCAAACGATTACGAATGATGATACTCCTAGAATAAGTGAGATGGTCGACACACTCAACTACATAACTCCACATTGTTAGTTGAGCCGTTCGAACAGACCAGTAGTGAAATAAGATTTTCCTTTAGGAAAGTTAGATTCACGGTAAAAATTATTTGATTGTTGGTTAAGGTTGTCGGAAGTGTGTGGATTTCATCAGGGACTTCACCAAACAGGACTATATCATCGTTGTATTTGAAGTTAAGAGATGGGTCTCGTGATTGAAGGTCGATTTGTGGAAAGTAGTGAGCCGATGAGAGTGTTATGTTGGAAGGGATGTCTGTGATAAAGTTGGGTGAAAATGAGGAAAAATGTTGAATCTAACGAGTAGGATTTAAGATTGGTGATTATGATGTCAGTTCTGCATAAGCTGTGTTTGGACACGTAGTGTTTGAGTGGAGAATCTGCACAAGGTTAATGTAGTTTTCTTATACTGCTCTAAATGATTGACACTGAGAGAGAAGCTGTGGAGTAAGGAAGTCGAATGTCTCTGGTTACCACAATAGGATTTCCGTTCCGTTGTTGGTTGGAATGATGAGCAATGGAGACCAGTCAGACGGTATAATGTGGGGTTGTTATAGTTATTTTTAGTGAATATTTGAATCAATCTGATAAACGAGAGTGTACCAGTATCCTTAGAGACATCAGGGTTAATTGATTAGTACCTGGTGTTCTCTGTCACTCTAAATTAGCTACGACCTTCCCTACTTCATTAGAAGTCGGATGACTTGTATTGACTGTCAAAACTGAATACTACTCTCAATGGTCTAAAAGTGATTTCACACACGCGATTGCCTTTTGAAGAGAAGAAAAAATATTTGAGGAGAACAAAATGCATTCATTTTATCTCGTTTTTGTTCTAGTTATTTGTTTACAACCTGTAATATTAAAAAGGCTATGAATACGAGATTGGGTTTTATGACGTATGTGAGTGTTATTGGGAAGGGTCGTTTGTTGTCTAACGTCGCCGCTCTTTCCATCGCTAATAGCTTCGCTGCCTGTCACTGTCCACGATCATTGCATAGACGTTTGCCAGTCCACGATTAATTTGCCTCTGCTCCTCGTCATGTTTGCAGCATTACTGGATGATTTGCTAAGGATCTATCGTCTCAATAGATCCCGCTAAAATCCGCTGATATTTTCAACTTCTTGGTTATAGTCGCTGTTAAGTATTGTTGATATTTCCACGTGTGTCTAAATATCATGCCCAGCCATACCGGGGAAAACATTTTGATGATTGACTAACTGATTTTCCTGTCGTTCCTGAAATATGCCCTTGATTTTTTTGTCGTTAAGATTTCCTTAGCTTAACACGTCTGCATCCAGTTAGACGAAAACGAATGCACTCTCGTATCAGAGCATGATCAGAGTCTAGATATGTACCCCGGGATGAGCGGCTGTCTTCTGTCGAGCCCCCGATCTTGGCTGTTGGTGATACAGTCTATTTGGGTCCATCCTTGAGTCGATCATGGAGGTCTCCATGTCAGATGATATCTATCTTCCTGCTCGAAGTTGGTGCTTGCTAAGAATAGACGGTTATCTGAGCGTTTTTGTAGCAGACCATCGCCATTGTCTGTTCGTTCAGCTGGTACACTGTGAGATTTGTTTAAGTATCTTCCCCTTTTGTTTATACTACATACCTGGGTGTTAAAATCTCATGCTACGATTACTAGTTCTGAGCGTTTGGCTTTTTGTAGGAGGGCAGAAGACTTTCTGTAAATCTCTTAACTTCACCTAAACTACAATCAGTGGTAGCGTTTGTAGAGACGACGAAGTAGCAACGGTGTGTGCTCCAATTTTTTCATGTTCTTACCACTGCATTTAATTGGATAGTGCACAAGCAACTGTCTATTGTAATTCAATCTTAATGATTCTGTTCTGCTTCGGGAATAAATGTCTATATCATTTGTAGGAAATGGTTATAAACTTTATTCAATTATTGCTCCGTTTTACGATGATATACTCTATGGTCACAAAACGGGCTTATTAATTAATTAATTTCCAGAACAATTAAGAGGGATCGATTCGGATATGGATAACATTCGTGAAGATCTACGCGAAGCACAACGTGACCTTGATGAGATCGATAAGTGTTGTGGTTTATGCGTTTTACCGTGGAGGAAGTAAGTTACATGTTGTATTTTAAGGTATCCGTAACCTCCGAATATTTCCATTAATAATGAAACGGGCGGAATGTGTAAACTGAGAGTTTTGTCCTAGAATCGATGCTCTAACTCTAAAAGAACGGATTTCCTGAACGGAGCCATGGATTAACGGATTAAATTATATGAATGTACACCAATATGGGATTGTGATGATGGTATGACTTCATAGAGATCTCAAGTCGACCTGAATTAGATAACTGACGAAGACCTGGGAGCACTGGACGACCGTTTCGTTCCAATGTGGGACTCCCCAGCAGCACACATCCATAACTGCAACCGGCGATCGAACCCAGGACCTTCGGTATCGCCGGCGAATGTTTAACCTCTAGATCACTGAACCGGCATCTAATGGTGTGCATGTCTGACTTCAATAAATTAGGGATATTGCCCAACCATCTATTATTTTGGGTTGATGTGTCATGTGCTACTTATACGAACAGATATCAGTAGTATGCAGCTAGGATTGGAAGTAGGATTCTTACAATCAAGAGAAAAATGTGGAAAAGAGAAAAAACGTTTGGAGTGGCAACAGTAATGGAAGGACGATGGAGTTCGTAAGAGACAGTTCAAGGAAGTTGTGCAAATGGTGTATTCAATGTATTGTTTTCATAATTTTAACAAACTCAGTCTGTCGTTTTGTTTAGTACAATAAAATGGTCTACCCTACCCAAGTTTTCGTCCATTAAGTTGGTACCTTCTTCACACCCAACACGGTCGAATTCCGGTGTCCATAGCTTCGCAACCGCATTGAACATTTGGTAGTTGTTTATTTCGAATGCCAATCTCATCTGTAAAGTATAATTTGCTTTACATCTTTCTATTTCTCATTTTCGTTTAGAGTCAAACCAGATTCGAAAACGCCGAAATACCCAACGAGTGGGAATGGTTATCTAACTGGAGCTAGTAATAATTATCAGGTTAACTCTTATCAGCCACAGTCAGGATTCCAAATTCAGCAAAACCAACAAAAGAGTGGGCCTTTCATCACCAGGTATACAGGTTTATTCCTATTCACTTCTTTTATTCCCCCCATTTTTGGACTGCGTCTCATATTTTATTCAGCGTTTTTAATTAACCATTAACAATGTACCAGATACATGTGGTAAGTGATATTTACATGAATACTTTCTCTCCTTCCTCCAAATCCTACATAAATGGTAGATAGACTGTACTATAAATGCACTAACTGCGGTCTTTAAAACTCTTATTTTGCAAAATTCAGAGTATGTCAATCTTATCCTCTTCAAATTGTTTTACAATTGCAGCAACACACTAATTTCATCTTTATTGCCACTTTTCATAACACACCTAGTAGTCTTCAAAAGTTAGAGCTCTCCGGTTGTTTCGTTATTTTACGTTTTATAGTTTCTGAATGATTATTTTTTACAAGCGAAATCTCAAGGTGGTACTGAAGTATTGAAGTGTAGTTTTCTATTTTATCAAGTAACTCTGTAATTTTGTGCTAAAGACTCGGTTGTGCTCACCTGTGTTCTCTGTCACTACATTTGGTGTCGCTACCTCCACTAAGGATGAAAATTCCATGGCCGGAGGAATTCGAGGACGGAGATGTGCTGAGCTTCCCGAAGGAGTTTGAGGCCGTGGTGGAGCTGGTGGAAGTGAAGGAGCCTAAGGCAAAGATGGTGGTGCTGGTGACGCTGCTGAAGGCAGGGCGGAGGTCGACAGCCCGGCGGACAGAGAAGTACTGAAGATGTTCCGGTTAGCGAATTTGTCGATCGATGGTGACCCACTGGTGCTGGCAGTGGATCTTACCAGGTTGTTGCACCGCGCGCTGCCGAATCTGGATGGGGAGTTGGAGGTACAGTTGTTGGCGTCGCGGTGCTGAGATAAATCTTCCGTTCATAGTAACCACCAGCCTATCGAGACCCATATTAGGAGCAGATTTCCTAAGAGAAGTAAAAGCAGTAGTTGACTTAAGAAGCGGTAAGGCGGTCACAAAGTACTGTTCATTCCCAATACATGAAAGTAGCGAAGTGGCTGAGATAAGAGTGGCAACAAACATTTCGATGAAGAAACCCAACCTTAACGAGTTGTGCACAAAGTATACGAAACTGTTCACGGGAGACAGAGCCGTACGGATTTTGTTGCAAAGTAAAGCACGAAATCCTGATATATTTGCAACACATCGTGTCCTTGTGCATTTAGAGGCCATGGTAAATCGAGAGGTTCAGGAGATGTTAAAAGAAGGTATAATTGAGGAAGAAGACAGTTCGTATAACTCGCTGGTACTCTTGGTAAAGAAATCGAATGGAATATATAGATTTTGTGTCGATTTTAGAGAACTAAGTAACATAACAGAACTGAAACCTTGTGCAATCCCAACAGTAGGGGAAACATTAGATCGGCTGCAGAATTCTACGGTATTTACAGTGCTGAATTTACGGTCAGGTTACTGGCAACTGCTTATAAACGAGCGGTCGAGACAGGACAGCATTTACTGTACGTGATAAACATTATCAATTTAGATGAGTGCCGTTTGGGTTGACGGGTGCACATTTTAAGTTCAGAAGATTAATGATACTGTAGCTCAGGGGTCTAGATAACGTCGAGGTGTATGGTAACGAATTAATAAAGACAAGTCGCAGTTTGCGAAAAGTAGCGTCACGTTGTTGGTGCATAAAGTGGGAAATGGAGAACCAAAATCAGTGCCGGAGAAAATTCTAACCATAAAGAACATTACAGTACAATTCCTGGGAAGGACAGCGTTCTACGGTCGGTTCGTCAAGGACTTCAACGAAATAGCAGCACCCCTATATAAGTCGTTGAGCAACACTAAGTTTACGTGGACTGAGACCGCCCAACAAACGTTCAACCGAATCAAAAACATGCTAGGCAACCTCCAGACCTCAGACTGCCTGGACCTGAGAAACAGTTTACAGTGGCCACAGACGCAAGTAATCATGGTATAGGTGCCGTCTTGAGTCAGTCTGATAGAGTGGTTGAATACGCGAGTCGCGTTTTCACACACTGAAAATAATTATTCAAAGGTCGAAAACAGCGTTTAGCGATTGTGTGGGCAGTAGACAAATGGAGACCGTACCTTTTAGGTTGACGATTCCACATCGAGACTGATCACAAACCCCTTCAATGGCTGAAAACAGCAATAGACCCCGTGGAGAGTTGGAGCGATGGATGCTAGGTCTACAGGAGTACGACTTCAGTATTGGCCATGTTCCAGGAAAGGAAAACGTAATGGTGGACTAATTCTCAAGACCAGACATGGAAGCCAAGCTTCCGTTGACAACATACGCAACGAATAGTATAAAGAGAAACCCACTAGAACTTGTCCGACAGCAGAAAGCTGACCCTATACTTATAGAGGTAATCAGAGTAATAAAAGAGGGGGCAGACCTCGACACCGAGCAATGGACAAGGAGGTAATGATGTTGCTTCAACAAAAGGAAAGACTGAGAGAATGTATATGAAGCCCTTATCTATCAGGACGATGAAGAAAATTAGGTGGCTGTAATCTCGAAGATGATACATGAGTTTCACCGGAGAGCGCATACAGGTATTGCAAGAACGACGGATTTACTACGACAACGTGCATACTGGCCAAGCGTGAGAGACGATGTGGCTCAATACATGTTAACTTTCCAGCAGTGCCAACTAATGAAAAGCGATCGATACTCACAATCGCCATTACAGTCAGTCCTAGTAACCGCAGTCGGTGATCTATGGTCGGTGGATGTGATGGGACCGTTTCCACAGATGGCAGGCGGCAACTAGACCTGCTAGTGATGACAGAACATGCTACACTTTGGGTAGACGCCTTACCCATTGCAGACCAGCGGGAAAAAACAGTGACCGAAGTAGTAATCCGGCATGTTGTAGTGTGTTATGGAATATCGAATATGATATTAACCGAACAGGTTCCCCGTTTTAAAACTGTCGCTTTTAAAGCCCGTCTAAAGCAGTTGGGCATCAAGAGGATATGAACCACACTGTATCACCCTCAGATGAACGGGCTTACAGAAAGAAATAACCGGACGTTAAAGGAATGGTCAGCATCTAAAGGAGGAAATTGAGAGAAAGAGTTACCATTAATTTTGCTGGCGCATCATGAGTTCGAGTCACGAACAGCAACAAAGAATGTAGCGGTACGGCCATCGGAGAGACTGCGAGAACAGCTTATTAAGAGGGGGGACAAGTGTGGTGTGTGGTACTTATGTTGACGTGAGTAGTATATAATGCCAACCAGGAATAGAATGTCTGTCAGCAGAAGGTTGATAAAATCAAGGATTGAAGAACGGGAGCAGAAAGCAATTGGTACGGAAATGCAGAAACAATGAAGCCTGAGACAATTAATGAACATTTCGCAAATGAAGTTTTGGAGTACGGTTTTTCTACTTTATCAAGTAACCTGTAATTTTGTGCTAAATATTCGGTTGTCCTCACCTGTGTTCTCCTTCACTGCAGTACGTCTGGTAAGTAGGAAAGGTGATCTAGCTTGATAATTGAAGTAAAGTCAGAAATTCTCGGTCAATCATTTCTAAATGTCTTTGCACATTGTTGCATACTTACTGGTCAGGCTTTATCCTTACAAGTGAATTGCAACTTTCATCAATCATTATTATTATTATTATTATTATTATTAGCTTTATTCAATATTATAATTTTGGTACAATATAGAATTCTCAGCGCAAAGTATTTCAACAAGTTTCCGTTTCTTTCTTCTTCGTCGGTCCTGGCGATAAATATTGAGGAATCGCCAGTTAGATGTTAGCACTTCAGTGAATGAACAACTGAATAATGTACATTTTTTTCGTTGTACATTGCCAGCAACCATATTGTCTCTTATTGAGTTTTCTGTAACTTTGACAACGAAAGGTTGTACACTTTTCAGAAACGCAGCAGAATAGGTTATGCGATTAATAAACATAATGATATATTAAAACAAACAACAATAGATAACTTGTTGAAATATCTAGATGGCAGGAACAGGTAGCCCAGATGCTCAAGCAGGCCGAATGAAGACAGGTCATCTAAGTCACACTCACTCAAGATAGTAGGCGTATGAGTAAAATTCTGTCTATTATTTCCTTAATTATGACCATATTCAACAACCTTATTAGCTCAGACTATTTTCTCAATACCGTTCAATCTTGTTAGTCACTATCGTTCTTATGAAATGCTTTTTTTCCGTTGTATCACTAAAACATAATTAGTTGTTATAAAGTGCTCTAATTACCTATAAAATCTATCATATGTGATGAAGGCTTGAAGCTGTGACAATAGTTTAAAATTAATTTTACCTATCTAAATTTTCTTATAAGCAATTGACTTTCTAGTTCAGTGTTTATCAAGTAGAAAGTTGTTTCTGTTGGAAATGATATTTCTCTTTTTTCAAATCGACTTACAGAATCACCAATGACGCTCGTGAAGACGAAATGGAACAGAATTTACAACAAGTTTCAGGGATGGTATCTCAATTGCATTCTATGGCTACTGATATGAATCAAGAGATAACAACACATAATCAGATTCTTGATCGAATCGATCAAAAAGTTTGTTTTTTGCACTTACCTTTATTTTATTATTCACTGTTTAGTACTGTCATCCTTTTTCAATCATTCCTCCAATTATCGACTTCATTGAAGAATATTGAGGTATATTGGTCAAAAAAGTAGAATAGTATCACTAGCTGGCATACGACAGTCATATATTGTGACTCAAAGTCCGTGAGTACACAAATCTGTAGTCTTAATTCAACTGTCATCGGTAATTCGTCCAAGCTACCTTATGTATATTTCATGTTTGTCAACTCTCAGTTAGTTGCCTCTGAATCTCTATGACGTGTACCTGACATTGACTATCAAATAAAATTTGCGAATCATGATGTACCATGAACAAGATTTTATTCTGACGCACTTTTCTATTTAGATTATTGGTACTTTAAGACAATGTGATATTATAATATCTTGCCTGTCTACATGGGAAATTATTTGTTTTTATTCAGGTATTATGATTAAAGTTGAGAGAAAACCTGTTTTGTATTTAAAACTTCACCAGACATTTTCGAATATCCATACAATAAAATTGGTTTTCTTTCATCCCTTAATTATTATCCAGTTGGTCTACCAATCAACCAAACTGATTAACAGCCTATTAAGTTTTTATTCTTCCAGTACAAGTTATAACTATGTACATGTACGTTTCGATAGTCCAAGCCAAAAATACCCAGTGCACATTGTTTAGTCGGTTAAATTGAATGAAAAAGAAATAGACTCCCGAACGAAATAATTATTAGTATCAGAAGTTTATTTTGACTGTTCAGTTTATATCATGGACTGAATTTACATAAACAACTAAGAAACACTGATAGCAGTTCCAGTTTAATATAGGACTTCTATTTTACGTCCGACACGGGTAAACTTCATTGTCCCCAGCTACTAAAATAGACACTTATACTCAGTGGACGTTTTTGTGATTGGATGACAAACGACATTTTTTTGGTCAATTCCAATCAGATTAATGATTATTAATATTCAAATCTTGTTTCAACTGGATAGAAATTAGTTTGTTAACTAGAATCAAGTGTTTATTTTATTTATTTATTTGAACACATTAATATTGGTACAAAGGAGCACCAAATACATATGCACCACACAATTCACTTGATTTGTGTGTGTGGTATGATATTACCCGCGTTATCAAATCGAAGCAGGAATCAAGTAAAACCTTAAACACTTGTTTATAACTTTCGTTTGTTACACTGAAGGTTAAACTATATAAAACTAATCATATGAAAGGAATGAAAACCACTTTCCCTTGAGAAATAGTTATCGAGTCAAGATAGTGAAAAATATCAAATTGATTACAAATAATCAAATGTTCCATACTTGAAGCATAAAATGCTTTTCTTGATTATAAATGATCTATAATTTTACTCAACGCACTCCGTGTTTAGTTAATCTAATTGATCTAAGAAAATGAACTGCATAGGAAGCTTCATTTGCTGAGTAATACATTTTACAGCTCATGGATATTAATTAGTGTTAGTGTGTATAATCAAGACTTGAAGCATTCAAATTCGATGGTGAATCTTAATGAGTTGAATAATCTAGCTTCTTATTGACTCATTCTTACCCTTGAATTTGATGTAGTATACAACCTCAGTACATTGTGCAACATCACGGTAAGCCCAATCAGATCTATACATCGTATCACCTACTTTAATGGTTGTGATAATCACGGTTGGAATTCTTTTTACGTTAAAGTCTGTAAACATCTCATTATATTTTCAAGTATTTCACTCTTTCGTGTAGAAATCAATTATTTTTAAGAGTCGTATTTCTTTCTCTTTTATGGAAACATGCTAAAATTTCTTAAAACTTAAAAGGGACCAGTTAATTTAGGGTTGTAAATCCATCGCGTTTCATTGAGTGATATCTCAGTGACTAGAACGCTTGGTTTTCCCTAGCTAACTTTTAATACCTTTTTACCCACACTAATGTGGACACCCAGTGCTTTCACACTACTATAGTGTGTGACTCAAAGCCCTGAGTACATCAATCTGTAGTTGGTAGCTGCGTTAATCATGTAAAATCCCTGTCTATGTAGATGTGTTCTGTCAAATAGTCTATAAATTTTTCCAAGTGATAACCGAATGTAAAAGGTAATCTAGTTGTGATATTTTTATTTATAATACATTTTTTAAAAATTTTACTTATCCAAACATTAATTTAATGCATCGAAATATTGCTTTCTAGGCGCAGTATAATCAGTCACAATTGGCGTTCGCTCAAAAGAGAGCTGATAAAATCTTAGGGTAAGTTTATTGTGTATATATTCAATTAATTGAATTCATATAGTTGCCATTAATTGTTCATGACGGAATCTTAATTATATAATTGAAATATCTTATTTATTAATTATATTCGATAAAGTTAATCAACATTACTGACTAACTAGCACGAAACCTACGTCCAGAGTATCCTAACGACTAGCTTCAACCACTTAACATCTTAATTAAATTGTACTATTTCCTTATTTCCATAAAGTCCACAGTTGAAACTCATTGCTCCAAAAACACCAGGTTATATTCTCTAATACTCATTAGATTATAATTAACCAAACTCTTTTAGTGTTCGAATTTTAACTAATGGAAATTTTGCTGATTATTTCAGTTATACAGGATAGTTGACTGTAATATTTTAATGGATTTATAGATAGGTTTTTTGTGTTTTACATATGATAAAACTAATAATATGAATTATCTGCATCCTGAAACTTTCTATGGAGGGTAATAAGTTAACTAAATTGATAATCACCTACAAGTCAACTACTTAATCTCTCATCCCATTTTGTAACCAAACTGAGTGATACAACAGTGGGGGCAAATAAATACAACATCGTTATCTATGAAAGAAATGACACCAACTTCGAAAAGCATTAATTCGGATAAGGTAAACATCCCTTTCACCTATACATCATCATGCACTTGTATTCAAATAACATGATAGAATATCGCTTATATTTATACATGCAACAGTCGAACACAAGCATTAAAATGATTGTGAATATGTCAGAATTCTGAATGGAGTATATTCCAAGAACACTGGGGAATTCCTTGAAACATATTATTCAGGTCAATCTACAATCAATAGGCATAATAATATAGATGTAGTTTGTCAATCATACCGTTTAGTATAGTCAATTGAATGAAATAATCAATGAAAATCCAAAGGTATATAAAGATAATAAAACCTACTAAAACAATTGAAGGTCAACAAAATTAACTGATTTAATGTTTATTGAGTAATCTAGAGATAACCCACATCTATTTAGCTGGTTTAAGCAATAACATTATTGACCACAATAAAAATGAAAATTTTACAACCAAATCATCATTGAATTTAATAAAAAAATGTAGTTAGAACCAAAATAGATTACCACATCTAACTGAATAGATTTGGTATCATTTGATCTAATTTGTCCCATCTCCATATCAACAATTTTTGTCAATATTTTTGACTAAATAATTACATGATTGTTATTTGACATTTAGTTAATCAACTGTAAGCAAATACCCCTGGTACGGCCGAGTGTGGAGAGTCCGCTCTCCCTCTCCGAATGCTCTCACATGGCCACGTGCATACAACCACTGCCAGGGAAGTCCTACTCACTGGCTTCTCGTGGCATCACTGTTGTTTACGAAATTGATAGGTCGAAAAGCGAATGTTCGTCACTTTAACCGGGTTGGTGGACACAGGGAGTCCACCTAAGGGAGATAGAAAACCCTGACTCCAAACCAATAGTGCACATGTGCTTTATGATCCTGAGGGAACAAATGGCATATGAACCTATTGTTGGTCATCGGCTACCATGGGACTGCATCTTCTTACGTTGCTCCACTGCCTTGTGAATTAGACTTTCAGGTCGAAGTCTCCGGTTGTGGCCCCCTAAGAGAACCACGTACTTCAGTTTGGGCCCACGGGCAGTTTCATAGCCCTCACACAAATCGAATGGTTTATGTGGCGCATATTTGTTTGGTGCTTCCCATATACCAATGTTTATGTGTTTAAATAAATAAATATATAATATAATATAATTTGATATCAGCACTAACATCAACTATACTTCACTTAATTAACAGGTGCATCCACTATTTGTATTCTTTCAAATTTTAATCTTCTGAATTATTCATGTCTTTTTTTTTCTATTTCCAAATTTATTTCACTTTACTATACTCGTTGAGTAACATCTTTAAACCCTAATCTTCCCGATTACTGCTTATAGTTTTACTACCTCTACCACTATGGGATTCGAATCGACAATTGTATCTCTGTGCTAATGTGGTATAGCAACTCGAACTGATGTACGCATGTACGAAGTTCTACGTTGCTACTAACTGACTAATTAACATAGCTATTAAGTTAAAAATAAACAGGTTAAAATACACCACCGATTTGAGGTATTATTATTTCTCCAGCAACAAGATACATAAATCTTGGTATAATTTTTTCTAATGTTGATTTGAGTTACTTGTTTCTCTTTTTTTTAAAAATGTCTTTTTATTATTTGAATGTTTAAGAAAAAAAAAACAAAAATAATACGAAAGAAGTATCAGCAGATCAATTTTCTTTTGTTTTAATTGTTCATTGATTATTGATTTTTTTTCCTACTCAATACAATAGGTTTCTATTTTAATACATACAATACTTAGTATCCGTTGAGTAGTCACATGATTTCTTTTCTTGGTTCTTCACTTATGCAATACATGATAAGAAATAGAAAGTTAGAAAAGTGAGAAAACTCTTAAATATACATGTAAGATTAGAAATATAAAACGATTACTGTGTTGTTCTCATGAATTTTTATCTAGTCAGTTGTTAAGGTCATCATCTACCACTTAATAATACTGTCACCACTGACCACATCCATATGTATAGTTGTATGGATATGTGTTGCCCCCTCTTCTTCTTCTTCTTCTTCTTCTTCTTCTTCTTCTTCTTCTTCTTCTTCTTCTTCTTCTTCTTCTTCTTCTTCTTCTTCTTCTTCTTCTTCTTCTTCTTCTTCTTCTTCTTCTTCTTCTTCTTCTTCTTCTTCTTCTTCTTCTTCTTCTTCTTCTTCTTCTTCTTCTCTTTTCTTCTTCTTCTTGTTCTTCTTCTTCTTCTTGTTCTTCTTCTTGTTCTTCTTGTTCTTCTTCTTGTTCTTCTTCTTCTTCTTCTTGTTCTTCTTCTTCTTCTTCTTCTTCTTCTTCTTCTTCTTCTTCTTCTTCTTCTTCTTCTTCTTCTTCTTCTTCTTCTTCTTCTTCTTCTTCTTCTTCTTCTTCTTCTTCTTCTTCTTCTTCTTCTTCTTCTTCTTCTTCTTCTTCTTCTTCTTCTCTTCTTCTTCTTCTTCTTCTTCTTCTTCTTCTTCTTCTTCTTCTTCTTCTTCTTCTTCTTCTTCTTCTTCTTCTTCTTCTTCTTCTTCTTCTTCTTCTTCTTCTTCTTCTTCTTCTTCTTCTTCTTCTCTCTTCTTCTTTCTCTTCTCTTCTTTCTTCTTTTTCTTCTTTCTTCTTCTTTTCTCTTCTCTTCTTCTTCTTCTTCTTCTTCTTCTTCTTCTTCTTCTTCTTCTTCTTCTTCTTCTTCTTCTTCTTCTTCTTCTTCTTCTTCTTCTTCTTCTTCTTCTTCTTCTTCTTCTTCTTCTTCTTCTTCTTCTTCTTCTTCTTCTTCTTCTTCTTCTTCTTCTTCTTCTTCTTCTTCTTCTTCTTCTTCTTCTTCTTCTTCTTCTTCTTCTTCTTCTTCTTCTTCTTCTTCTTCTTCTTCTTCTTCTTCTTCTTCTTCTTCTTCCTTCTTCTCTTCTCTTCTTCTTCTTCTTCTTCTTCTTCTTCTTCTTCTTCTTCTTCTTCTTCTTCTTCTTCTTCTTCTTCTTCTTCTTCTTCTTCTTCTTCTTCTTCTTCTTCTTCTTCTTCTTCTTCTTCTTCTTCTTCTTCTTCTTCTTCTTCTTCTTCTTCTTCTTCTTCTTCTTATTCTTATTCTTATTCTTCTAAGGATTCTAGTACTGTTTTTAATCTGCTCTAGTGCAATCACTTTAGCAAACAGTTTCATCATCGATCGACTAACATTTCTTTATACTATCATTATATATGAGTTCTAAGCTGTCGATTTAACTTTAATACTGTACTTATCTTCCTCTCAATTATGGCGTTTCACAATTTCAACCAGTCGTGCGGTATTTGGGTGTCATAGTCTTAACTAATTTGTTAGTAGTCAGCAAACATTCTCATTGTTATCTGTCATTAAGCTGCTTAGGAGCATGAGTTAAGTTCATTCTGTGACTTGGCATTTCGTATTACATTATTTTCAAATTATCAAAATGAACCGAAAATGTAGGTTTTTGTCACTTTTATTTTCCTTTTGTTGGTTTTTTCTTATTATGCTAATGCTGAATGTAGCAAACTAGATCTATGCTCAATCGTACTAGGTTCCCGCTTGTTGTTACTTGTTCGCCAAAAAAAAACGAATGACTATGTGGGTGGTACAATTTCTACTTATTACAGTATTAGGCTTGAAAGATACAGTAGACGCCCAACTTCGAGATCAACATGCTGGATTTCGTAGGGATTGGTCGTGCACAGACCAAATTGCGACACTACGGATCGTCGTCGAACAATCAGTTGAGTGGAACTCGTCACTATACATCAACTTCATTGATTATGAAAAGACATTTTACAGTGTAGATAGGAGAACGTTATGGAAACTTCTTCGACACTACAGAGTTCCTGAGAAGATTGTCAATATTATCCGGAACTCATATGACGGACTACAGTGCAACGTCGTGCATGGAGAACAGCTGATAGATGCATTCCAAGTAAGGACCGGAGTCAGACAAGGCTGTTTACTCTCTCCCTTCCTCTTTCTTCTGGTGGTCGACTGGATTATGAAGACCTCGACATCTGAGGGAAAACACAGAATACAATGGACAGGTCAGAAGCAATTAGACGAATCGGACTTCGCAGATGACCTGGCCCTTTTATCGCATTCACATGAACAAATGCAGATAAGGCAGCCAATGTAGCAGCAGTCTCTGCATCAGTAGGCCTCAGCATACACAAGGGGAAAACCAAGGTCCTCAAATTCAAAGCGGAGAACAGCAATCCAATCACACTTGATGGCGAAACTCTGGAAGATGTGGAATCCTTCACATACCTGGGAAGCATAATCGATGAACAAGGAGGTTCAGATGCAGACGTAAAGGCGAGGTTTGGTAAAGAAAGGACAGCATTCTTACAGTTGAAGAACATATAGAACTCAAAACAACTTTCAACCAATATCAAAGTGAGAATCTTCAATACGAATGTCAAGGCAGTTCTACTGTATGGAGCTGAAACTTGGAGAACTACAACAACAACAATCAAGAAAGTACAAGTGTTTATAAATAGCTGTCTACGCAAGATACTCAACATCCATTGACCGGATACCATCAGCAATAGCAATAGAGAACAAACCAGCTTCCAGCTGAAGAGGAAATTAGGAAGAGAAGATGGAAATGGATAGGGCATACACTACGCAAATCGTCAAACTGCATCACGAGACAAGCCCTTACCTGGAATCCTGAAGGAAGGCGAAAAGGAGGAAGACCAAAGCACACATTACGTCGGGAAATAAAAGCACATATGGAAAGGATTGCCCGGA